AGTTCTCTCGTATTGGAAGTGTTCAGACAGTCTGGAGCAGGGCTGTTGTAGAGGAAATGAGGAAGTATATTAGTGATTGCTAGTCCATGGACCCTCTGCCTCAGAATCACCCAGGGAGCTAATTAAAAACCATGAATTCCAAGGTCCAAACGCAGAGGTTCTTATTCATCAGGTCAGTAGGTCTGGGGTGGAACCCAGTAATCTGTATTTTTAACAAGTTCTCTAGGTGATTGTGATATTCAGCCTGGCTTGGAAACTCTGGACTTGGTAATCTTTTATTGCCACCATTATCTCCTAGGACTAGATGGTAAATGAAGACTTTGAGGGTTAGTGGTTGGTTCAAGGAATGCATTTAGGCATTATGCCTTTAGGATCTTTCGAGATTACAACATTGGTTCTTTTTGTCTCAGAGAATATAACAAGTGCTAGTAAATGCATGTGGGCCTGAATAATTATGATCCCTGTCGTATACCATTCTTCAATTTACAAAGATCCATAACATACTTGGTTATATTCAAACTATTCTCTATCAGTAAGTATTTATTGAACATGTGCGAGTTACGAAACATAGCATCAAAAAAATACAGTCCCTGTGCTTAAAGGGCTCATAGGTGAGATGGTGTAGACTGCCTGGTAGTACAGAGCAGCATATACTAGAGCCAGGTGAATAGTGTAATGGTGAGGGCTACAGGGGTCAGGGAATAGCCATCCTGCATCCAGGTATACTCTGGATCCATATGGGAGGAAGAGCCAGGCCTTGAGAGGAGGCTCAGGGAAGCTGCATGAAGAAGGGATTCCATACAGCAGTAACACTGCCAGGACACTATTGCCCTACAGCCCTGTCACGTGGAGGCTGTCACGTGGAAGCTGTTCATTCCCCCGAAGCTCCTGATCTCAGAGCAGGGAGAGTGAGTCCATTTCTTCTATTTCCAGTGTCTTCTGCCTTAGCTGCCTTGATCCTGGGGGGACATTAACACCCCCTTACATGAGGTACCCCACTTTTGAGCCTCTCAGTTCTTTGAGTGCTTCACTTTGGACAATTATCTCTTTCACTCACTTCAACCTGCCACTCTAGTTCCGAAAGTCTACCTCCAGTTTTGCTGTTGGTCGAAACTGCTCCCCTCCAGAATCAGGAATCAGACCCATTACTCTCTGGCCACAACCTGTAGCTCTTTTTCCTGAACACCTTCTAACCAGTGACCCCTCTGCTTTTTCCCTGCCCCCATCCCTTTACCTAGATGGCTCTCTTGCATTCTCGATTCCCATTTATCCTCAGGTCCTATTGCACACCTTACTTTCTCAGGGAGGCTTTCTGCGACATGGTTAGCTCTCCATGTTGGGTGCTCCTGTAGCATCCTGTACTTTCCCTTGGGTAGCATTTAGTGTATTTTGTATGTACTTAGTGTCTATGTCCTCTACCTGACTGAGCTCCATGAAGGCAGAGACGGTGTCTGTGGTAGAGTAGGTTGGCACAAAATAGGTGCACAGTAGACACAGTTGAATAGATTAAAATGTATACCTCTGGTCTAAAATAGTAGGTTCTAAACTCTGTAGTAAGAAGCGGTGGGGAGCAAAGGAGTGGCAGAATAAGAAATGAGGTGGTATTAGAATAAAGTGGAGTTCTGGGAGATTTGTTTTGTTTTGTTTTGTTTTCAGTTTGAAAGCAGTCACTGTTTATTAACTGACCAGATTACAAAAATAATCGTGGTAGATACCTTAGTTCATCCTTCTAATAAGCCTGTTGATCTGGTCTTCCCTGTTGCCAGCATCTCCAAAATGGGTGGTCTTTTTCTTCATTCCACCTCGTGGAGAAGACAATTTGAAGGGCCACAGGAAGTTGTTTGCTTCTTTGAAACGTTTTCCAACAGTATAGATCTCATGAATCAGATCCTCCATGCAGATAATACCATATTTGCCAAGAGATCGAGCAATCAACACGTTATCCATCAGGGCAATTCGCTTCTTGTTGCTTTTGACATAACCACGCTTGTAGATCAGTTCATTTACTGACTTCAGGTTTGGGTACCCCCATGCAATCAATATATGGTTCCACGATTCTCAGCATGTTAATTGAAGCCTCCTCGTGCTTCACAAAGGTGCCATTGAAAATCTGACGGAGGCGAAGAAGCTGCAACACCTTTCGAACCTTTGGGCTCACACCATTGATACCTCTGATCCTGATGACAAATGCCAATTTGGGTTCCGCGGGTACGTGGAAGTTGCCAGCTTTTCTTGCCATCCCAGCCGTTCGAATTTCAGTTCTGTACATCTGCCGGTGTTCCCTGTGATAGTGCTTAGCTTTTTCATAGATCAACTTCCTCCGTGCCTTTCGAAGCATCTTTTGGGCAAATTTCTTCCTCAGGCACTTGATCTTAAGCTCTGTGAAATTCACTTTTTCTTAAGGGTTTCTGGCACAGCAGGAACCTTCTTTTTCTTCTCTTCTGCACTCTCCATGGTTCCAGCCAGGAAAGAGCTGTTTTGTTTTGTTTTTGTTTTCTCCACAAAGAGAGTAGGCCTCTAGCTCAGAGCCTTCAACAGATGGCAGTATCTCTAGAAGTTAATAACATGACTTTGTTTGCATTGTGCTTATCCGTACAGTTACTTTTATCTACAGATGTGATACAGACTTTCCTTTTAACATAAACGTATGAAAGAAAAATGAGTTTTTTAAAGAAAAGCATAACTAATAATAATTTGGTTCATGGATATAGCAAAAAAAAAAATCATAACGGTAGAAGAAATGAATGAATTTTGGGAAATGCCAACTTGGATGAAACCACAGGTACTCGTTATGGAAGTCCTGGGGAAAACTTGGAGCGCTTTTTCAGCACACTCATTTCCTGTCACTGTTGAGAACCACGAGTCTAGAATAAAGGACAAAAATCACATCTGCCAATTGTAGTGAAAAAGTTGGGAACTTACATATATCAAGCCCTAGCACAGTGCCTGGCTTACTTCAGTCATTTAATAAATGTTATTTCCATTGTTTCTACCCTCCACTCCCTCCTAATAGAGACCAGGATTCTCCTGCTAACTTATAGTATGCTCTTAAAGAGCAAGTCACAGTGAAGAGGTTAGACCAGATCACTTCTATAATCCCCTGCAGTGCCTAAGTGCTTTGTTTCCTTTAGTGTCATATTAGTGGGGTTTTGGAAAGAAATGGAAACAAGCACATGTGTTTATCTATTTATGTATAGCAAACTCTGAAGTTCTTTGTTTTACCCTAAATAGTCCATACTTAAATTTGAAAGAGAAAATTATTGTCATCATCCAACCATCCTTTCAAGGTCTAATGAAGATTAAGTGATATTTACAACTTAATGTAATTTAGACTTTGAGTAGTTTAATGGCAAAATACAATGATCAATTGATTTTTATGTTGTATGATCAAGCAGCTTTCACGTGAGTATACAGGGGAGTAAATGTCATTTCCAAAACTAATTATTTTGGGCCCTCATAAGAAATAAAGCTAGGTGTTTCATCCCATATTTTATAGAAATAGAATTTGAAATATTTCTTTAAGAGTCAGTGATTTGGGGGCTTCCCTGGTGGCGCAGTGGTTGAGAGTCCGCCTGCCGATGCAGGGACACGGGTTCGTGCCCCGGTCCAGGAAGATCCCACATGCCGCGGAGTGGCTGGGCCCGTGAACCATGGCCGCTGAGCCTGCGCGTCCAGAGCCTGTGCTGCGCAACGTGAGAGGCCTGCGTATCGCAAAAAAAAAAAAAAAAAGAGTCAGTGATTTTAGGGGCTTCCCTGGTGGCACAGGGGTTAAGAATCCTCCTGCCAACGCAGGGGACACAGGTTCGAGCCCTGGTCTGGGAAGATCCCACATGCCGCAGAGCAACTAAGCCCGTGTGCCACAACTACTGAGCCTGCACTCTGGAGCCCATGAGACACAACTACTGAGCCCACGTGCCACAACTACTGAAGCCGCGCACTGCAATGGAAAGTAGCTGCCACTCACTGCAACTAGAGAAAGCCCGCGTGCAGCAACGAAGACCAAACGCAGCCAAAAGTAAATAAATTAAATAACTAAATTTTTAAAAAAAGAGTCTGATTTTAAAAGAGGAATCAAATTACCAGGAAGTTCATCATAATCACATAGATTCTTAGACTGGGATATCATTTTGCTTTTATTTATGATATTTTACTCTTCTTTTAAATGTGTCTGACAATCTTTCCCTGTAGTTTACATCTGTATTTCTACCAACTAGACATTTAAGGTGTCAGTTCCTCCCTTAGCTAATTTTATAGACTTTGAGCTAGAAATCTGGTATTCTTACAAACTTAAATATACTGAATTTTGTTTCTTGATATTGAAGAAATTATTAAAGGAAAATTCTTTTGTCTAACATTCTTGCCCAAGAGGGAGGTTCTATAGCCTCAGAAGTCAGTAACTATTTATGTACATGTAGTAGTGCAGTTTTCTTTCTGATGTTAAAACAAAAAAACTACTTCAGGTAGCCCTGTATTATTTATATCTTATATGTCTGTGTACTTGAATTACTCAAATTTTGAGCTCCATGGTTATGATTATAATGTACCAGTTGATTTAAATTATTGATATAACAGCATTTGGTAATGGTGCAGGTTGGAATAAAAGATCATTAAGCTAAATATTTTAACCTTCATTGGCTCCCTGTTGCTTGGAGTTTGTCAGAGTGAAATAGAATCACAGCATTTCAGAACTAGAAGGGCCCTTAGAGATTGTCTCATCCAGTCCCTCATTTGACACATGAGAGAACAAGCCCAGCTACTTGCCAAGGACCTACAGCTAGTTAGTAGCAAAGCTAATACCAGAACCTAGGTCTGCTGTTTCCCAATTCAGTGCTCTTTCAACCGATTCAGTTGGGATTTTTAGGTGGTGGTCTCTCTGTTTCACTCCCTAATGTTGATGCCAATTATTCTAATCAGTTTCACATCTGTTTATTTTTAGGACATAGAGTTTCACCCCATTATGAGTCTTTCCTGGTTAAACTTTATATCTGGCTTTCTTTTAGGTTGGTCTCCACTCATCTCTTTTAATCTTGAAGACTTCAAAATATACCTGGATCTACCATTTTTTTTGAAAACTCCAATACCAAGCAATCAATGACCCACCGTGCTCTTGTTATAATATAGAAGCTTTTCAGTTCTCCAACTCTAAACAAGATTTTCTCCCATTTTCCCATGAAGCCACATTGTTGTTTATTCACTTTAGTGGTGAGTGTTACTGTGCCAGCTGCTTTTGCTTTGGAAGATGTAGGCTTCAACCAAATGACCCCTCTGGGAGCAAATCATAGTTCTTCCAATGCATCATTTCTCCCAAGTTTTGAACTCTCAGCAGATTCCCACTCAGGTGATGATGTCATCATAGCCAGAGAGGGAACTAGTGTTTCAATTGAGTGTCTTCTCACAGTCGACCACTATGAAGGTGTCTATTGGTACAACTCAAAAGGACAGCAGCTGGATAACAGAGGCAGAGGTAACTATGCCAGAGTATAATTAATCAAGGTTACTCATTTCCTATTACTTCTTTCTTCTTGGTTTTAAGGCATATTCAACAAGAAATCTCTAAGATGAGGTACTACAGTAAATAGTTAAAACTTTGGAAAGCTTGGAGTATTATACCTATCAGAAAAAGCAAAATAATGGTAATTACTTAACCAGAAGAAAATAAATAGAGAATAGTTATAAATTTAAAAGGTGTTCACATAATGATGGTGAGCTATTTTCTCTCCTCTTGGTGAGCTGGTTTCCTTCTTCATTCAAGGTAGACTCCATCAGGGTTGCTGCATACAGCTGTGCAGGCTATGCGCTGCACAACTCCAGGGGCACCATTCACCTAGACTGTAATGTGAGTAGTACAGAGTGCTGGCCCTGTGTGAATACAGCAAGAAGGATTTGGGTTAGACTTAGAGTCATAAATAAAAATGTTTTGCTCAGAAATGAGTTACTAAAAATGTTGGAGGAAATCCAGGATGTTTTTAAAAGTAGTTATAAAGATCTGTGCATAAAACTTTAAGTCCCTCGGAATCAGAAGGGCACTGAGGAGGAACTCTATAAGCCCTTTCTATTCTATACCTTAATTTACTTCAAAACAGGAGAGTTTCCCTTGTATTTTTTTTTTTGTCTGTCAGTCTTAAAAAATCACACAAACATCATAATAATGTGACCAAGGTCTACTTTTTGACAGGTTTTTATTTGATTATGCTGTTTATGAACCCGTAAACACATCTTAATCAGAATACTATTTCCTTTAATTAGTGTTCTGTTAGAAAGATTTTTTTTTTGAAGACTACTTGTGTTAAAACACCTTAGGAAGAAATCTCCATGAAATATCAATGGGATAAAGATTAAATTCTGGGATCCTCACAAGCTACACTTTTCGGAAAAGGCCCCTTTATATTTTTTGCTAGAAAGATAGTCTAATCTCTTGGAATATAAGGCTATTTGGCTATTCATATTAGAGTGGAAAACAGAAAAGGAGACAGATGGTGCTTCCTTCTAAAGTATATGCTAAACATTTTAACCTTCTGCAAACTGAGTAACTGGCCACCAAGGGATCGAAGAGTTGGAATGTTAGAAAGAACAGAGCTTCTTAAGAATATAGACCTATTAAATCAGAATCTCTACAGTGGTGCCCAGAAATCAGAATCTCTAGAGTGGTATTTTGAACATGATTTGGAGTTCCCTCTTTGGATCCACTGAACTAGACTCTTACCTCGTTTGGCTCTAGGGTCCTAACAAACCCGTTTAAGATGTGGGTTAATCAATATGATTATTACAGACTGACTGTATAGACAAAGCTTCGGTCAGGATGAGACCAGCCAAGTGGAATGACAGTTTTATTTTCCTATTTTGCCCTTACTTTGAAAACCACTAACATCTGTCATTGATGCTTTCAGCAGCAGCTCTGGACAATTATATTAAATTTTATGAATCTCAAGTGAGAAGAGTTTAAAGAGCATATTAGTCTAGTATAAGGTTCATAAATCTTGAGCTATTATCAGCAAGTGAGCTAGAGAGTTCAGATTGTGGTTATAGTGGTTGATGAATGGAGTCTATGTAGTTCATCATACCGTGGATTCACAGGGTATCCTTTTCATAGCTCCAAGTTTATAGAACAGAAGTTTATAAAATAATAACTATATTCATAACTACATGTTTTCCTCTTTTTACTTTAGTAAAAATATAACTAGAATTTAGATAAATTTTGATGATGATAAGAATGGGCACAATCCACAGTACTTACTAATTGATGTGCCACCCAAATAAGCCTGAACCATAGAATCTCAGGGATGAAAGAGATCTGGAAGATTAGACCTTGAAATGGTGCTTAACAAGCAGTCACCCAGCCTCCTCTGGGACACCACCTCTAGGCATTGGGACTCATACCTACACTGCACATCTATCCCATCTTTGAATGGCTTTCATAGTTAAAGCACAGAGTACACTGAGAACTTACCACAAAGGTGAGAATTGTGCAGGCAGAGCCAAGTTGTTTTTTTTTCCCAAGTTATTAAAGGATGTTGAATCACGGTGGGTGGTCAGTGTGCTTTGTTTTTCATACTCATGTGCTTTTGTATACGCGTTCCCTGAATGAAGATACCTTCACGTATGGAAGAGAGGCAGCATGTTTTAGGTTTAAAACAAGCCTCGGCATCTTAAGGGCAACTTTTTTCTCTCTCCCAAGCTGGTCATTTCGCCTCGCTTGTGAAACATATCTTTTGGCTTGTGCTTCATTTACTCCTGCCAGAAAAACAAGATACTATCATCAACCAACCTTTTCTAACAAGACAAATTAACATGTGCAAGGCATGCCGGATGAGCCACTTAGTAATTGAAGAAATGCATTAAATTGGTAGGGTTTTTTAAAAATAGTTTTTGTCTTAAATAAATAAGTTCATTATTGAAAGTAAACAGTTTAAAAGGAAGTAAAAATTACTCATAACCCATTATAAATAACCATTGTTTTATATTTCTGAGGCACATCCTTCTATTTATGAGAAAGTCTAGGTAGAGACTGTGATATAGACACACACACACACGTAAATATTTCTTTTTAAGTTTAGTCATTTAGCATTATGTCGACACACCTGTCTCCCTGAAAGGCTTCTTACATCTGGCAGTGAAAAGGTAGTTATGATAATCATTAGTGTCAGGAAGATCTTGATTCCCTTTTTTAAGTTCCAGGCTGTTTAAATTCTGACTCTGAACATAAAAAGTCTGCCCTTTCTTACATCTTTTAAGGAAATAGCAGAGCCTAATAGAAGAGTTGATTTAAAGTACTCTCATGAAGAGGTGGAATATTGATAAGGCAGTTGGCATATTTAGCAATAGTATTCTTTATGCTGTAATTTTTTATTTCTGTTGGGTTATCAGGTGGAAAATGGTTGGTTTCTGATAACTTCCTGAATATCACGAACATAGCCTTTGCTGACCGTGGGCTCTATACATGTTTTATCACGTCTCCGATCCGTGCCTCCTACTCGGTCACCCTGCGTGTTATCTTCACCTCGGGAGACATGAGTGTCTACTACATGGTTGTTTGCCTGATTGCCTTTACAATCACTCTCATCTTGAATGTCACACGGCTGTGCATGATGAGCAGCCATCTTCGTAAAACTGAGAAAGCCATCAATGAATTCTTCCGAACTGAAGGGGCAGAGAAACTTCAGAAGGCCTTTGAGATCGCAAAACGCATCCCCATCATCACCTCAGCCAAGACTCTGGAGCTCGCCAAAGTCACACAGTTTAAAACCATGGAGTTTGCTCGTTATATTGAAGAACTGGCAAGAAGCGTCCCTCTGCCACCTCTTATTCTAAACTGTCGGGCCTTTGTAGAGGAGATGTTTGAGGCTGTGCGAGTGGATGACCCTGATGACATGGGAGAAAGAATTAAAGAGAGACCTGCCTTGAATGCTCAGGATGGCATCTTTGTCATTAACCCAGAGATGGGCCGGAGTAATTCACCAGGAGGAGATTCGGATGATGGTTCCCTGAGTGAACAAGGCCAGGAGATAGCAGTTCAGGTTTCTGTCCACCTTCAGTCAGAGACCAAAAGTATTGATACAGATTCTCAAGACAGCAATCATTTCAGCCCGCCTGATGATACAGGACCTGCTGAATTGAACTCTAACTACAAAGATGGGGCATATGAAAGCTGCCAGCTGTGAGCTACCCCAGTACCTACAAAAATGGCTCTCAGAAAAGGAACCTGTTTCATGCAGGAAATAACATTTTTACCAAAAGATAAGTAGGACTTTCCCCTTGCTCATATTAAGCACATCAGGACATGAATTGTTACCAAAATCTTTCTAAAAATTCAGTGTTTTCCCTATCTGATCTTTCTCAGTCATTTACCGTGAGCTTGATTAAATGACACATGTTGAGATTTAAAGGGGCCTGAGACATCAGCCTAATGGGGAAAGTACCACACCCAGAATTACATGGCTTCTCTTCTGGTCATGGTTCTTCCATTGTTAGGGCTGACACTTATCTTTAGGCCTCAGTTTTCCCACTAACAAGATGAGGGATTTGCACTGGATGATATATAAAGACATTTCTGGCCCTCTAACTTCTTACCTGCCACCTTTAAACCAAAAGAATCTTCAGCCCATTTCTGAATAAACAGTTCCCTAGACTTTGAGTCCCTTTTTATGGAAAGGACCAAGCTGAAACTTTGTGATTTGGATTCCCACACCAATGCTATGCATAGAGGTGTGGGTGTTTTTCAGATGTCTTGCTGGTGGAGCATACAGTTGTATATGCTAGGTTGAATGCCTCCAGTGTAGCCCATGTCTGTATCGTTATACAGATACCGGGGAGCTAACTGCTCATTAGTAAGCTACTTTCCATGAGTAAATTGGAACTTGTGGGGGTGTATCATGTCTTTTTAACTTACTGAGGCATCATTTAGCTCATTGAGCCGGCAGTGATTTCCCAACTGTTCTCCAAAAGTGAACAGTTTGTTCCTAAAGAATAATGTCTTCATTGTTTTTAGAATAAGAAACAATGTCAAATCATCTGTGTCTGGTAAATTAATGGATTTTGACATTTCTGTTCATAGAATTTCTCAGGCTTTCCCTGTTTAAAAGTACTGGACTCTATGAGATAGTTCTGTGTTTGGGATCCCATTCCAGGAGAAAACCCACAGCTGAATTCCTCTTTAGACCTCTGTCAACACTCTTGCCCTCCGTGGTCTTTAATATGGTGCTAAAGGTTGCATGCCTCCTTATCTTGTTCATCTTGTTTATATTTTATTGTTGAGGTTTTTATTTTTGTGTACTTCAGGTGTAGAATTTTGAGCTAGGGCTGCTTTTGTGGCCTTTCCGAGAAGCACTAACCTGAAATAAGATTAGATAATGGTGTGTGGTGTATGTTACTATATTAAATATATAGATACTAATACAGATGGATATATATATACACACATACAGATGATCTAGACATAAAGAGGGAGAAAACTTATGAGGGATGCCACCTGATTCAACTGTGTATAATAAACACTTAGGACAGTATTTCTTGCCTGGCTGAGATCTGATGTAATGGAATTGTACATACTCTTCAGAATAATTTCTTCAGCTACAGTAAGCTTGGCGTCATATAATTTTAAGAACTTGGCAGTGGAGCTCCATGTGCTTCACGTTTCTTCATTTGGCTTCTGATTACTGAAGCATCACTTGAACAGAGGTTCCTGAGAGAAATGTTTGGGGGAGGTTTTTATCAGGATTTTAATTTCAAATGGAGGAAGGCAGGAAATTCGAAGTGTGACCAGATTGAACTCCTTTCTCCTTTGTGAAGGCTTATCAGAAGTAATACATCTGCTCTCGATAGCATGAATGAATCGATGTGCAGTTTTATCAGATGGCATTACAGATAATGATAATGCTGCCTTTTCTGTCTCTCAGGCTGTTTCCATGGAAACCTCCAGAGCCAAACAAAAGCTACCCGTCATTTAGCCAAAGCTTGTCTTGGCTCATAGACCTGTATTTCTTTAAAGAACACTGTTTTCATACATTTGGCTATGAGAGCAAGGGCTCTTGAACATGCCCTAGATTATAGAACACTTTTTCCCTTCCCAGAATGTTTCTCTTGAAAATGTAAAAAATTTTTAAATCCCTTGTCTGAGGTCTGTCCCCTGAATGTCCCTCAGATCTTTAGATAGCACCTTGCAACCTGTCCCAATATAGCAGGTTTGGGGTCATTTTTAGAATGTAGCTTGTCACATTAAAGAGAATGGATTTATCCCACATGTTCTCATAACAGACATGGGCATTTGGGACCTTAATGTAGACATATTTAATGATCAAAGTCCTGAGAAACAGGGCTTTGGAAAAATACAAGAAATATTGGGAAAAAAATAAGTTTGCACAATACTATATAACAAGTATAGGCTACTCCAGTGTATCCTAGATAAATCACTTTAGAAATGTAACGGTGACTTAATTTGGTGGCCAAAGTAACTGTATTACTTTGAATATTCCAGGTTAAGGTGCCACTGATAAGGAATTAAAGTAGGTCAAAATTTAAGTGGAGCTGGCATTACTTTCTAAATCTAGTTGTTCAGAGGAAGAAAACCACACTCACTAACATTTTCTGTAGCTAATCAAATACTCTTCATATATTATTAATACTCATGCTGTCTTTTTGTAAAATCCTTAACCTTTTGAACTTAAACTCCAGTAACAGTCTTTTGACAATAGTGGTAGTGTAATTATCCTTCTGTCTTGCTAGATTTTATGGTTAGTGAAAATGCCTTTACTCAACAAACTGTATTTGAAATAGTTATGTCATCTCATTTACAAATTCTGTCTTGTATTGTGATTTAATGAACCTTACTGTCCTTATGAAATGAAATGGTGGCTTTGTGAAATAAATTTACCAAAAATAGACATGTGAACATTTTTAGAGATTCCTTACCAGCTGAAATCAGACAGACAGGCATCTTTTGAGCTGATACCGCGATTAGTTTATAGGCAGTTTGATAAGCCTGTCCTCAAAGTCGCATCCGTTCTGATAGTTTAGTTCTTGAGTCTGGCCCAGTGAGCGTTTATATTTCCTACCAACTACCTTGATATAAATATCTTGGGAGTCGCTGACCTGGAATGGTTTGAGGAGGCTCCCGGCTTCTTCACCTCACTTACCACGTATTTTAAAGTCGAAATACCCAGCTTTCCTTTTGTCCTCCAGCCACAGTGAACCCCTTGGCACAGTCCTCTCCACGCCCTGCATGTAGTTTCAACCTAAATCAGAGTTTGTATTCTGTGTCACAGAGCAGCATGGGAGTGTGAATGCTTGTTTTCCAGGGCCCGGCCAGTCATGGGTGCTAGCCTTGCCTCCTCACACCAGCTATGGTAACACAAGTATACCAGATTTCCTGAATCACTATTAAGAGAACACAGTCTTTTGTCCCCTACGCCAGCAATGTTAGAAGTGCTAAGCCTTGGGCTTCCCTGGTGGCGCAGTGGTTGAGAGTCCGCCTGCCAATGCAGGGGACACGGGTTCGTGCCCCGGTCCGGGAAGATCCCACATGCTGCGGAGTGGCTGGACCCGTGAGCCATGGCCGCTGAGCCTGTGCGTCCAGAGCCTGTGCTCCGCAACGGGAGAGGCCACAACAGTGAGAGGCCCGCATACCACACACACACACACACAAAAGTGCTAAGCCTTATGCATAAACTCCTAGATTCTCAACACATTTCATAAGAGTAAATGAGTTGTTTAATATGGTTCAGATGATGTTTAAATGGTTACCATGTTAATGAATACTTACATTATAATTTTGTCCTTTTTTAAAAAAAGTTGTACTTGAATTTAATGTATTAAATGTTCAATGGAGTGTATTTCATTTGTCTGAAGTCTTCTATAGAGATACATTCTTTTTTTTTTTTTTTTTTTTTTTTTGCGGTTGACAGTCGAAGTCTGTACCTTTTTATCAGGAAGGCGATAGCTTTCCAGAAGCCTCACCTGACTTCCACTATACAGCTTCCAGAACTAGGTTATATGACTACCTGCAGTAACTGTAAGAAAGCTTGGGAAGATGAAATTGTATATTTTTTCACTGGACATATTGCAGCAAAGTGTTTTATTATTAAGAAAGTGAAGAATGGAAGTTGTAGGCAACTGGTAATGTGCAACAAGGTCAACTTCACTTGAATTACAGGAGCAAAATGTGGTTGTGTGGTGGATATAGTTGCAAACCATGTTCCTTGAAGATACTCACATGTATGGATGAAGAATGTTGTGTACCATATCAGTAAACAAAGGATGTTGCAGCCATCAAGCCATCAGCCACTACAGCCACCCTGACTGTGCACCCTGAGGGGATTCAGGATGGAGAAAAACAGGATACCGGCCTAGATAGTTAAGGTGTACATCAAAGGAATGGTTTCGATGAGCCCAGGCTCTTACATCTTCCCATACATAGAGAAGTATTAAGTTCATTAACTTGAGATGTCTGGTTTTTCTTTAATTAACTAATCTTTTGCTGTTCTGACTACCTGTTTTTTGTTGCAAAAATTCATGTATATCCTGGCTACTCCCTTACCTCTTCAGAACAGTCCCTCAACTATCTGAAAGGCCGCTTCCCAGGCTTAGTCCTCAGTATGTCTGCCGAATAAAACATAATTCTCAACTTTTAGGTTGTGCATTTTTTTCAGTCCACACATGCATGAACAAAGCAAGAATCAGAAGCATTAAATCTTAGGTTAAATCTTCAAGCCATCACTTATGTAGTCTCCCATACACGTGGCTCAAACAGCAGACAGACAAGTTATGGGATTCTGCTGGGGCATAATTGGCTTATCTTAACCTATTTATTCATTATCAGATACGTACTGGCCACCTGCTATGAGCAAGCAATAACAAAGTTCCTAGGGGACAACAAGGTTGGCCTATTGGAGAAAGAGAAGAAATAAGCCTGTGTGGCTGTGAGGGGAGAATGTCAGAGAAGCAGGCAGGGGCCGGGAATAAGGTTAAAAGATTTCAAAGCTCTTTTTGGCTGTCCCCAGAAATGTGTTTCTTAGAAGAAATGCCTTCTAGAAGAAGCAGTGCCTAATTTGGAAGAGGAGATTTACCAATTTAGGGAGGGAAGTTTGATCTTTCAGTAGTACTATTCGTTTTGTCCTGAAATCATCTGCAGCTAAAAAAAACAAAACACAACTCGATTGTCCTAATTTTCTTTAAGGAATCAAACTCCTTCAGAGCCCCTTAAATTCCGATCATGTCCGCGAGTTTTCATGTTTTCACTGGAACCTATTGATTAGGAAATATATATGTAAATATACATATGTTGCTCCATCTGCCTGGATGATCGAGGCTGCTGCCAGCGTGCTGCTTCTTCCTGACAGTTGGAAACACTCTGCTTTGCCTCCTGCTTAGCCTTGTGAGAAGGAGGACTCAAGTGTCCTAAGTGATGATAAATCAGCCTTCAAGGGGGCCTCCTTACAATAGAAGAGCCACCCCCTGGGAAAGAGTTTGTCCCTAAGCAGAAGGGAAGTTTATCAGGAGGAACTCCCACTGAGGGGTAGTTTTGCCATGTGAATTTCATTGCTCTTTCAGAAACTACAGGCAGTTGCACCATGCCTGAGTCTACTCTGCTCAAGTCCCTTGACCCTTTGAACACCTAAGGCTATGCCTATTCAATTTTTCAACAGATGTTTGTCACACATAAACTAGGGACATTATCATGAGTAAAATCAGAGGTGGTGTCTGCTCTTTGGGAACTGACAGCCTATGGGAAGACAGATCCTATTCAAAAAGTCACACGCAGGGTAGATAATTAAAAACTGAGAAGTGTGCTAGAAAATGATTCTCTGAGAGCTTGGAACAAAGGAATCTGATCTCATTAGAGGTCAGAGAAGAATCCCCTGAAGAAGTGACACTAGCAGCTGCAGGCATTGCTTGAGGGCTTATTATGTTTCTGTCCTCAGCCAGAGACAGAAACATAATCGAATGCTGCTTAGAAGGAATTTATAGACCTGTTTAAAAAGTAAGATGTTCCTACAAATAAACCATCTGAAAGAGACAGTGTGGCATCAGCGCTAAATGGATTAGCACTAGATAATAAAAGCTTAAGGAGTTAAAGACGAAAAGTGAGTGGTAGCAGAGGGTGGGGAATACCTTGTGGATGGGGTGAGATTTGAGCCAGGCCAGGAGGATGAATAAGCCTTGGACAGTGAAGGAAAGGTGTTAATCTGGTCATGGAACTCAGAAATCTTCAATGGTGCCCTGCTGTCTTAGCAGTAAAAAAAAAAAAAAAAAAAAAAAATCCAATTACTTGACCCTCCATGACCTGCTCCCAGCCTATCTTCCCAAGTTTACCTTTTAAAGACCTCTGCACTCTCTTGGAAATACAGTAACATTCTACCTTTTACATTATAGTTACTCCTTTCTTACAAGTTTATGAGCAACTTGAGAGATGGCATCATGTACTAGTCACCTGTATTTGTAGCCCCTTATTCCTTAGGGTAACACCTTTTGTATAGAAGAGACAGTAAATGTTTGTTTAATGGGATGGGAGGGGGGACTAAACTGTTGTGCTGTAGTATAGGACTTTTAAAAAGTTTTAAATACCATCTTCACACTGGTGACTCCAAATTGATATTTCCAGCTCTAAATGCTCTCTTCCAGACCTGTGGATCTAACACCTCCCTACTTGCCATCACCATTTGGCCAGGCACCTCTAAAAGGCATCTCAAAATTAATATATCTGAAACAGAAGTTTTGATTCCCTAACCTGATAACAAAAGCATATATCAGTTTCTACCTCCACCATCTTCTCTCAGTAAATGGCACCACCATCTAGTCATTTGCTCAAGACAAAAATCAGTTTCATCCTGGACTCAATTTACCTTACTCTCAGTGTCCAATAGATCAGCAAGTTCTCTTGTTTTGCTTCAAAAACCATATATCTAATCCATCCACTACTCTCTTCCTCCATTGATGTCATGCTGTTTCAAGACACCATCATCTCTTGCTTGTAGTATTTGATGTTCCCCACTATTGTCCCCAGGTGATCCATTCTCAGCAGTGCAACCAGAGTGAACTTTCAAAAGCATGTCATCTCCTGCTAATGTTCTATAGTGTCTCCTGTCACTAGAAGAAAATTCTAGAAGAAAATCCATACTCCCCACCATAGCCTATAAGACTCCCTATGAGCTGCTCCTTCCTGTGTCCACGCTCATCACCTACCACCCACCTCACTATACCTCCCAGCCACCCTGACCTCCTTGCTGTTCCTCAAACACACCAAGCCTGCTCCCACCTCAAAACCTTTGGTCTTGTTCTTCCCCCTGCCTAGAATATCTTCCCCCAGATGTTCCCTTCACTGGTTTCTTCTTGGCATTCAGATCTCAGCTAAGCTGTCACCATTTCAGAGAGGCCTCCCTGACCATACAACAGTAGGTGCCCCCAGGGTTGGGGTTAGAGTCAGGGCTAAATAACTGTAATAATAACTGTTAATTTTACCATAGTACTTGTCACTATTTGTCTTAGTCCACTGGGGCTACTGTAACAGAATACCATCGACTGGGTGGATTAAAAAACGGAAATTTCAAAAAAAAAAAAAAACGGAAATTTCTCTCTCACAGTTCAAGAGGCTGGGAAGTCCAAGATCAAGGTGCCAGCAGATTTGGTGTATGGTGAGAACCAGCATCCTGGCTTGCAGATGGCTGTCTTCTTGCTGTGTCCTCACGTGGTGGAAAAGGGTGAGAGAGCTCTCCAGGGTCTCTTTTATAAGGGCACTAATCTCATTCATGAGGGCCCACCCCCATGACCTAATCACCTCCCAAAGACCCCCACCCCCTAATACTGTAACACTGGGGATTAGATTTCAGCATATGAATTTGGGGGAACACAAATTCAGTCTATCACTCTATTAGATATTGGTTATTATTTATTTACTTGTTTATTATATTATTTCCCCCACCTACAGTATCAGCTACATGAAAGTAGGGACATTACTTTATTTCCTATTATATTATCAGCAACTAAACAGAGCTTGGCACCTCTAAATTGACAATCACTAAATATTTGTTGCATCACTGATATAGATGGATGGGTGAATACTGGTTAATTGTGTAAACTTAAAGAAATAATTTAGAATCTTTGCCTCAATTTACCTCCTTCCTTGATGTAGATGGAAGGTAATATACTACTTATGTTTTCTGGAACACAAAGGACGTGGTTAAGATAAATGAGAAGGCTGAAGGCTTTACCACTTATTATGAGAAAAATATTGGAGTGTATGGGCAAGGAGCCATTTGAAAGTGGTGATGACAGGCTAATGGAGAAGAAATTCATTTGTTTTATTACCTGTGAACCTCCTGGATACTGAGTAAGATGGAGGAAAATGAAATGTACCCATGTGTAATATAAAAATTCATTATACAGCTTTTGTTAATTCAAAGTAGAGTAATGCTTTGTTTTTCTGGCATCAATAGGTATTTTGCTAAGTGTTTTGTTTTTTCAGATAGTTAATGTTCCCATTGTAAGAAGATTTTTTTCAATTTGACTGTTTTAATGGAAATAGTTTTCAAATAAGTTTCAGTGCCACTTTCTCTGGCAGCACACTGAGCAGAGCCTTTTGTCAATAACTTGGAATATCATTACAAGCTTACATTACATACTTGGGTATAAAATAGTGATAAACTCTGAAATCACAGATGTGTAGACCTTTTATACTTCCTGCGATCTTTTATGTATATTGCATAGGTTTGTTTTTTTTTTCTCTTCTTTCATTTATTTAATCAACAAGTAAGACACACAGTACATGCAGGCTGGCCACTAAGAACTCTGCCCAGAGTGATAAACAAGAGAAATGTGATTCCTGCCCTCTTGGAGCCCACAATCTGCTGGGAAAGATTACAGTGACCAAGGAAGTACAAGTGCGACAAGAATCTCAAAGGCCTACCCTGGGGCTTGGGAAGCACCTCCCCAAGGAAATGGCCTTTAAACTGATTCCTACAAATTGCTCAGGGGAAGAATGTTCCAGGCAGATGGAAAAGCATGTTCAGAGGGTGTGAATGGTGAGACAAAGGTGCATTTGAGCAGAAAAAGTAAGACCAGCAAGTCTCCTGATGATGCTGTAGTGTCAGGGAACCAGATTGCAGACCCCTCCTCCCATAAGCCCAGGCTAGGAATCTGAGACTTCATTCTAAAAACAAATTAAATGCTTCTTTTAAAGAGGGGAGTAACACGATCAGCATTACCCTTCAAAATATGTGTTAGAAGAAAATAACCACTAAACCTATGCTTTCACACATATTTTTGGTTTAAATGAAGTTAAGATAAGCGATGCCACAGTTATCAACCTTCCACAAAGTATGGAATTGACAGGTGATGCTCAGGGCCATAGGGACAGTGCAAAAATCGAGAAGAGGATGTTCAAGTTTGGGAAAGTGTGGGTTTCAGAAAGGAACCTCATTATTGGAGGCCTCTTACAATACGGTATATATAAGAGCCTGATTTAATTCGGTTCGACATTATCTGAAATACCCGCCATATACCCAAGAGCTAAAGGAAAAGTTTAAGTGGATGAACATGCACTGGGAGCAGATGCCTGAGTTCCAGGCCTGCCTTGGCCACTACCAGGATGGACCCTGGCCTTCAGCAAGTCTCTTCCCCCATGGACCTTAGCTTCCTCTCCTGCAGAATCAGATGATGCCTGTGCAAGCCACTCCGCCTGGAAGGCTGAGATGCACATAGCTTAGCAGGCAGGAAGCTCAAAGGGGGGCTCCATCACCTACTCACCAAGTGACCTTGGACAGATTACTTAACTTCTTTGAATATCGGTTTACCTATTTGTGAATGCCCTACCTCACAGATGATTGTGAGAGCTAAAACGCCTGGCACAGACAACGCAGTCAGGAAATATTAGGATCACTCTGTAATTTTACAGCTTAATATCTGCTGGCTCACATATTAGCCCACTAAAGCAGGAAAAAGAATTTGGAAATGAATGTTTCCTTCAGGAAAAAAGTGGCCCCTTATGAATTAAGAACTCATTCCACATATTTCATTTTTCTGTATCCTTTTGAGACTTAGCAACATTTTGGGAAACATCTTCCACCATCCATCTGTCCAACATTTGTGCTCTGGAATATCTTTCCTCTAACAGCTTGGCCAGACTCTGTTTTGAATGTGTCCAGTGACACTGTCCCTAGCCTATCTATTCTGAGCATGTTATTAACCTGAGCTTGCATGTATCAGTATAAATTCTGCTAAGAGCCAACATTTCCTTACTTTCTGAGCATCCATGCGGAAATAAGCTTGCATGGTTTCTTTGTGGTCTCTTTGTAGACCCCAAGGGTATTAATAGCAAGTCATACACCCTCCATTTTTCTTCTTATTTTTAAACAACTGGGTTTTAAATAAGTTTAATATATGCACATTGTTTAAAAATATGAACAGTATAGAAAGGTTTTAGGTTCAAAAATCTTTTCTTTGCTTCCCGCCCCCTGATCCTTAGTTATACTCCCCATATATGAACAGTATTTTATACATTCTTCCAGAAATCTTTTCCCTCCTTTCCTCTCTTTCTATATGTATTCTACGTAATTATCTTTATCTTACGCAAATAAGACAATAACATCCCACCTTCCTTTCTCTATGTATTTTATATCATTGTACTTATTTTACACAAATGGGACTGTACTGTTCAGACCTTATGTCTTAGACATTTTTCCGTAGGAACACCTATAGATCTGCCTCATTCTTTTGAGTGGCTTTCTGGCATCCTATTAATGGAATGTACCCTTTAACCAACCCCTGTTGTTGGACATTTTAGATGTTTCCAATCTTTTTCTCTCACAAACAGTTTCCTAAAAAATATCTCTGGACATACTTCTTTGCACACTTGATAAACTTTATCTGTAAGATAAGTTCTTATAAGTTTTAAAACCCAGAAGAGCATCCTCCTGTGTGTTCGCCAAGCCATCAGCCTGTCTCTGCTAACGTCAGACCTCCAAAAAGAGCTCCTTCCAAGGCTGGTGGCTGCCTTATTGGACAACACAGGTACAATCAATACTTTGAAAGATGTTATCAATCTTTACTGTGAAGACAGGTGATAATGTAGCAGAGTGCCTGACAAATATCCGAATATCTGACATACTGTAGTTACCTGTAAATTGTGGCTCTTAGTCATCTTGCCTTTATGCTTGTGAACAACCGGTGAGGAATTTATCTCCAAGGCCCGAAGCTAAACATAACTAGAGTCAATGGGTTGGTATAATATTAGCAAATTTAGGTGGCACTATTTTTATGAAACAGCCATTTACTGAAGATGAATGTCCAATGGAACAGGAAAGTCCTTCTTAGGTAGTAAAGGAAAACCTATGAGGCATTATGCTTCAGTTTTAGAAATTTTCTCTGGCTGGATCTCCAAGAAGACTTGACATTTTCAACAATAAAACTCAATTCATAGCTGGTAGGTATTACTCTTAGCATTTTGGGAAAAAGAATTGCCAATTTAAACAAAGTAGTGTTGATTTTGATCTTGAGAACATGAGAACATGATCAGGCATTTGGGTTCCATTCATTCATTCCTTCATTCAACAAATGTTTATTGAGCACCTGCTAGGTACAAGGCAGGGTTCTAGGTTACAGGGGATGCAATGTAAACCAAACAGATATGAGCCCAGCAATTAAATAGCCATGTGACCTTGGACAATCCTCTTGCCCTTCTTGGACTTTATCTTCCACATCTTTAAAAGAAGCTGGCTGAACTACATTGTCTCCAAGGATCCTACCAGATGTATCATTCTGTGCCTCTCCTTAATGCATTCTTAATGGTGATCTCAATGCAGTGCTGCACTAATTGCATAGCACATGGGGACACCACATAATCCTTCACAGGAGTACTGCCAAGTTTTGACCAATGGGTACTGTATTAGTTTCCTCAAGCTGCCATGACAAATTACCACAAATGTGGTGCTTAAGACAACAGGAATTTATTCGCTCACAGTTCTGGAAACTCAAGTCCGAAATCAAGGTCATCAGGGCCATGCTGTCTCTGAAGGATCTATGGAAGAATCCTTCCTTGCTTCTTCCCAGCTTCTGGTGTTGCCAGCAATCCTCAGTGTTCCTGGGCTTGTAGCTGCATCACTGCAATCTCTGCCTCAGTCATCACATGGCCTTCTCCCTGAGGGTTTGTGTCTCTGTTTTCTCTTCTTATAAGGACAACAGTCAGTGGAGTAGGGCTCAGCCTAATCTAGCATGAACTCAACTAGTTACACCTTCAAAGACTATTTCCAAATAAACTCACGTTCCTAAGGTTCCAAGTAGACATACACTTTGGTGGGGGGGACACTGTTCAACCCAGTACAGATACTATTTCCTTTTGCTTCTACCAAGGGTATGGACTGTTACAGCAGTGTCCACCAGCAGACACTGAGCTGGGGAGGTCACGCAGCCTAGTGCAGAGGGGTGCTCTATGAGGAAGAGGTAGGCAGTATATCTGAGCATCAAGGCTGGCACAAAGAACAGAAACGTGTTTAATGGAACCTGTGAGACTGTGCCTTGCAGACAGGTACAACAGGACGAGCAAAGCCAGCTTGTGCGCCCAGGACGTTCCAGGCAGTAAACAGCAACATCGTGTTGGGCGTGACAGTGTAAAGGGAACGATAACTGAAAGCTTTCCTCCCAGTTATACCTGGGAGACTTTATAACAGCGCTGTAGGCATGATTACTTCCAATTAATTGTTGGTTTCTTTGGTACCATTTTGAGTCATTTCTTCCCTTCTAGTTGAGCACCCAAAATGCAGGGATTTTAAAGGGTGGCCCACATGCAGGAAGGTCAACAGCTGGGCCTTGCAGAGCAGGGGTCAAGGGCTCTAGCTCTGGAGGCAATTCAAGGATGGAACCTCTGCTCTTCCCTCTTACTGGCTGTGTGTCTTTGGGAACATTAGTTCGTTTCTCAGAGCTCAGACTCCTTGGCTGTAAATTGGGGATAATAATAGAAACGTCTCATAGGATTGTGGTGAGGAGAAAATGTTATGTTGTGAGGAGAATAATTCATGTGCAACATTAAACAGTGCCAGGAACATAAAAATGTGCTTAATGTATGTTGTTGCTATTAAAATATCTACTAATCTTTCCCTGAGCTGGGGGAGCTTTCCCAACAAAGATAGAAACATGTTGTTACTTCTCTCATATTAAAAAAAAAAGACCTTTCTAGACTGTATCTTCCTCCAACACCTTCCCTTTACAGCAAAATTTCATAAAGGAATTGTTGGTCCTGTGTCTCCAGTTCCTCTCCTCCCATTCCACAAACAGGCCTCTGCCCTTCTCCCAACCCCTCCACTGACACTGTTCTCAGTCAGTGTGGTCCCCCGTGACCTCAGTGCTGCTAAACCCGGAGGTCATTCTCAATCCTCACATTACTTGCCTGGTCAGCCGTTTGTGACAGTTGAGCAGCACCTTTCTCTTGAAACACTTTACCACTTGGGTTCTTGGGATACCACTGGCTCTTGGTTCTCTTCCTACTTCCTTCTGACATCGGAGCGCCCCTAAGGCTCCTCTGAACTTCTCTTTTCTATCTACGCTCCCTCCCTAAGTAATCTCAGCCAGCCTTTGTACCTTAAACACCATCACCGACAGCTCACACACTTAGATGTCCAGCCCGGACATCTCCCCTGAACCGAGTCCGCATCTCCATTTGAATCTCACATAGACATTTCCAAGTCAGCATGTTCAAAATCAGATTCCTGATCCCCCTCCATGGGGAAACCTCTTCCTCACTTCGTCTGCCCCACCTTAGCAAATGGAAACCGTGTCCTTCCAGCAAATGGAAACCACGTCCTTCCAGTTGCTCAGGGTAAAAACCTGAGAGTCATCCTGACTTTTCACTTTCTCTTACACCCTGTCTCAAATCTATGAGAAAGTCTTGATAGTTCTACCTTCAGAATAGATCCAGAATCTGGATCTATTTCCTCCACTGCTGCTGCTCTGGTCTAAGCCCCCTTCATTCCTCGCCTGTATTACAGCAATACCCTCCCAACTCAGCCGTATTACATCAGTAGCCTCCCAGCTTAGCTTCCTGCGTCTTCCCTTGACCCCCTGCAGCCTATTCTCGACCCAGAAGCCAGAGGGACCTCACGCTTGGCTGCACATTAGAATCACCTGGAAAAGTTTCAGAAATGTCAATGCCCAGCCCATATCACTCTAATCAAATTAGAACCTCTGGGGGCAGGACCAGAGGGCACAAGTGTGGTTTTATTCTTTTATGTCAGATCATGTCACTCCTCTGCCCCAAAACTTCTAATGGCTTCTCATCTCAGAGTAAAAGAGTTCCTGAGATGGCCCAGGAGGACTCGCATCAGTGGTTCTCACACTGCGACAGCATCTGACTCAGCCAGAAGGCTTGTTCAAACACAGCCCGCTGGAACCCATGCCCAGAGTTTCTGACTCAGTAGGTCTGGGGCGGGGCCCTATGATTTGCATTTCTCGCAAGTTCCCAGGTGACGCTGATACTGCTGGGCGGGGGAGGAGGGATGGGGAGGGGCCACACTTGGAGGCCCAGTACCTTGTGGGATCTGGTCCCACACCTCTCAGACAGCATCTCCTGCTGCTCTTCCCCCACTCAGTCTGTTCCAGCCAAACTGGCCACCTTGTTATTCCTAAAACGGCCAGGTGCTTTCTCACTTCAAGGCCTTTAATCCTTGATGTTGCATGTACCTGGATTCCCTCCCTCATCTCTCTCAGGTCCCTCTTAGATGTCACCATGTCAGTGAGGCTTTGTACCTTATTGAAAAGGGCTATCCTCCTCCCCCTCCCTAACCCTCCTCCCTGCTTTATTTTTCATATAGTTCTTCTGAACATCCAACATACATTTACACATATATGCACATATATTTTCTGTCTCCCACCCCCAACTCACACAAGAAAGCTTAAACCTTATGAGGGAGAGGACTTTGTTTTGTTCACTGATATGTCCAGGGTGTCTAGAACCGTGGCTGACACGCAGTAGGTCTCAATACATCTAAACGGAAAAAAAGGCAGAAAACCCGACCAGACAGGAGTGCCTTAGTTCTGTTGATAGCCACGAGGGGCCGCTGTGGCGCCGCAGAACGGACAGGAAGGCTCGCTGCTGCTCTGCCTCCCACAGCCAAGGGCTTAACACAGACCCTGGGAGGGAAATACCTGGGTGGCCAAGCAGGCCAGCTGGGACATGGAAACATGTTTGTTATTGCCTCCTAAAGCCTCATGCCCAACACCAAGACAAGCTGCTCCCGGAGATCCGCCGCAGCCCATATCCAGTAAGCTTTTGGAAGGCGGCATATCAGGGTGAAAGCATTTGAACAAGTCCCCAGTGGGGTTTGATGGATACCAGGTCCTGGGGAAAGGCTGAGAGGAAGGAGTGAACCTGGCCTGGTCCAGGTAGACACAGCCGAGAGGCAGAATTACACAGAGTGGGGTAGTCACTCCAAGTTTAAATCCAGAAGCCAAATTCTCAGAGGGGAGAGGTGAGCCTAGCTTGAATGTATCCCTCCCTGGATCTGGGATGTTCCAGGGCTCACTCTTTCCTCCTTCCTCATCAATATAGCCATCTATCTATCCAGACGTACATGCATGCATATACCTGAAGGCTCTAAGAGAATTCGTTTGCATTCTCCGTGACATAGCATATAAAAGCTCTGGGCTTAGGAGTTAAAAAAAAATGCTTTAGTTTCACCTCCAGCTGTGTGACTCAAGTCTTACCTTATCTGTGTTCCCTACCTCGTGGATTTGTTGTGCTGAAATATTAGTTGAAATATTGTGAAAGCTCCCTGCGAACCATCTAAACATCAAAATGTTTGTGTTTTTTTTGCGTGTGGGTGGGGCTGCTTTCACAAATGGCACTTGAATCCAGCAGGGATTTATCAGAAGACCCCACCCAGCGTAGAATCCAAGTGAACCACAGATTTATTTGTGTGTTGGTTTGCATACAATTTAAGGACAATATTAATAATAATAATAGCTAAAAATTATGTAGCATTTGCCTCAGGCCAGTAAACCCATTACACACTTCATCTCATTTAATCCTTACAACAACTCTAAGAGGTATGAACTATCCTAATCTTCCAGTATATAGATGAGGAAACTAAGGCTCAGAGAGGTTAAGTAACTTGCCCTAAATGACAGGCTTGTAAATGAGATTTGGGCTCAGGCAGTCTGCCCCCTCCCCCTCCTACACCAGAGCCTGTTCAGTGACCTGAAGGGACAGTGAAATCATCCTGGTGGACCAGCCTTGGACCTTAGACCTGGTGTGCATCCCAGCTTTGCTACTTCTCAGCTGTATAAACTTGGGCAAATGATTTATCTGCCCTAAGCTGCTGTTTCTTCCTCTGTAAAATGAAGATAATATTTCCCTTGAAGGGTCGTTGTGAGGATTAAATGGGATAACACGTAAAGCACCCAGCCAGTCCCTGTGAGAGTAGATGTCCATTAAACATTACACCGCCCCTGACTCCTCATTAAAGATGAAAAAGCAAAGCACTGAGAAGCTAAATGTCTTAGCTGACATTTTCCGGTGTGTTTTCCCAGACTTTGTGGTCAGTCCCTGGGCCATCTCCAGGTAAGGTTTTCTCTTTGCTGCAGTTGGTAGTCAAGAATCTTGACTTTTCTCAGTTCCCTCTTAGCCAAGGTGGGACCCTGGCGGATAGGGCCCATCAGAAGCCTTTGCCCAGCCACCCTTCCCTCTTACTGGCCCTTCTTTTCTGCCCTCTCCCCATAGGTTGAAAAGAAGAATAGGACAAGGAGAAGTTAGAAGCTCCCTTGGTCATCAGGAGAATTAAGGTGAGGAGAAGGGATAACGCGGAGGGGAGAGATTCGTGGTTTGGGTCGTGCCCGCGCTCCAGTCAAGAGCCTCTTAGCTCTAAGCCACCCACTTAGGCACAGCAAGATTCACTTAGTCACGCCGTCTAGAATCGCATTTAGTATTAAAGCTGAAAGACCGCAGAGATTATTTCATTTTCAGCCAAGCTTCATGCTTGGTAGATGAGGCGTCACAGGGTGACTAACTTGCCTGGCGTCCCACATTAGCCGTCTCCCCAGCCACCCAGGGTCCGAGTTCCCTGGCCTCTTTGCCTTTTACTTTGACTCCCATGACCTCTCCATTCTCTGTGGATTCATTGCCCTGGAGCTTTGCGTGGTTAAGGCTGCAGTGACAGACTTTACCCCTCTAGTGCCATCTTCTCCCCCAACACTCTTGCTCTGCTGAGCACCACTTAGTCAAAACCTTTTTTGCTGCCTCCTGGCTGCCCAGGACCCCACACTAAGGTAAACTCCTTTGGCAAAATCCCATGTCCTAAAGCTTCCCCTATGCCCATTTCTCTATCACAGCTTACCTTTCTTACATCCCAGCCAACAGTCAAATTCAAAAGGAAATCTGATATGTAATAAGTTCCACCATGTTTACGACTGATAATGAACTCAAATGGTTCTAAGGTTGTTTATTTTTAAAACTGGGCTCCTAGAGGAATGAAATGTTTACCCAAAGAGGTAAGGCCTTTAGGGTAGAATTCTGGGAATTCTGATGCAGAAAATTCTCCCCAGCATGCCTCCAAGTGTCCAGTGGAGACAGCTCCAAGCACTGACCCCATGTGATACTAGCCTTGAATTAGAGGTATGCGTGGTTTCAAGCATTAGCCTCATGATGGTCTGGTCTCTTTTCTGAATCTAAGAAATTCTTGGTCTTCTTATCATAGCAAATCTAAAGTCGTTTATCATCTCCATTTCCTTGCAGCACTCTTTTAACCTCTCTTTTTCACCCAGTGCCTGCAGTCAGAGAGTGAAGGGAAACGGGGGTCTGTCAGGGGACGGTGCCAGCTGGTCTTTGACTACTTCTTGTAGCAGCTCTAGAGGCCCCCCTTCCAAAAATCTCAAGCACCAAACCCCAAATGCCTTATTTCCACAGGACTTGACCTCTTTCCCAAAATGCTTCCTAAGATCAATGTAAGTGCTCATTGTAATGGTTAGAATGGTGGTGCTGCCAGCTGTAGTAGATTTCCTCTCCATGTCATCATGATTCATGGTGGTCCTGAGGGAGGCGGAGAACACAGTGGCCAGGAGCTGGGATGACCACACATCCCTGTTTCTGCCTGCTATCCTGGCGTAATTATTAATAGGGCCAAAGTGTCCTGGGTTGAACGATAAACTCTATTAAGATCACGGGCTTGGGAGTGAGTTTGACCTGAATTCAAAGCCTACCCTTGCCTCTTAGTAGATGAGTGACCTTGGACAAGTTTCGTAAAGTCTATGAACCTCAATTTCCAAATCTGCACAAAGAGGATGTTATTAGCCACCACCCCCCACCACCACACCCCCCGTTCGTAAGGCCATTTGGCAGAACTGGCTTTGCACAGTGCCGAGCACATGCTAAGAGTGCAACCTGAGTTAGCTCTGATTCTAGAATTATAGAGCATCCATGTACATCCTCCTCATTTGCAGACTCACCGCAGAGAGGATGTAGACTCCAGTGAGGAATATTTTGCACTGGAAAAACTTGCAACCAGACAGACTAGCATTCAAATCCCAGCTGCACTATTTCTAGTTCTGTGACCCTGGGCAATTGAAACAAACTTTTTGAGCCTCACCTTACTCATCTGTGCAATGGGGATAAAAATCTCAGGGTTGTTGAAAGGAGAAAATGAGATAAAGGTATTGGAAAGCACTGTGCCCTGTGTACTAGTAAATGCTGCTGCTTATTATTACATTTGGGGGAAGTGAGGCACAGAGAGGTAGGAAGAACTGCCCACGTACACAACTAGGGTTGTGAGAGAGGGGGCATGTCTGGCTCCGTGCACTTTCCACTCTATCTTATGGTCTCTGAGGACTATATTCTCCCTCCTCCCCAGGTTACAATCATGCCCTACGCCATCAGCATCATTTCCAATGCTGTATTAATCCTTCACAAGCTCTCCCCTCCCTTATCATGGAGGTTCGAAACAGGAAATGGAAGCCTCATGATGACATGCAGCTGGCCCTGGGATTTCTGAATTAGAACCAAATTTCATGTTTGTGGAATAGATGTCAGTCTGCTGGCTGTGTGACATTGGGCAAATAACTATACCACGCTGAGCTGCAATTTCCTCCTGTGTAAAAAAAAATGACACCCCTTGCAGGGTAGGCGACAAACTAAAGTCATTCTGACTCCCAAACCTCTGCTTTTAACTTTGATCCTAGCTGAAGTTCAGTGGCTGTCCAGTCCCCTGGCTGTTTGAGGAGCATTTAAGATGATGGCAGGTAGTAAGAAAAAACCTACATTTCAGGTGTATGAGGATGACTTCAAAAATTGAGATTTGGGCTATCGTATGAGATAGAATGCTACCTCGTGTGGGTAGATATTTTATTCAAAATCGTCCAAAAGCAGTTGGCCTGTTTTTTGAGTTTTGTTTTTAACATCTTTATTGGAGTATAATTGCTTTACAGTGCTGTGTTAGTTTCTGCTTTATAACAAAGTGAATCAGCTATACATATACATATATCCCCATATCTCCTCCCTCTTGTGTCTCCCTTCCACCCTCCCTATCCCACCCCTCTAGGTGGTCACAAAGCACCGAGCTGACCTCCCTGTGCTATGCGGCTGCTTCCCACTAGCTATCTATTTTACATTTGGTAGTGTATATGTGTCCTTGCCACTCTCTCACTTCGTCCCAGCTTACCTTCTCCCACCCCGTGTCCTCAAGTCCATTCTCTACGTCTGCGTCTTTATTCCTGTCCTGCCCCTAGATTCTTAAGAACCATTTTTTTTTTTAGATTCCATATATATGTGTTAGCATATGGTATTTGTTTTTCTCTTTCTGACTTACTTCACTCTGTATGACAGACTCTAGGTCCATCCACCTCACTACAAATAACTCAATTCTGTTTTTTACAGCTGAGTAATATTCCATTGTATATATGTGCCACATCTTCTTTACCCATTCATCTGTCGATGGACACTTAGGTTGCTTTCATTGTCCTGGCTGTTGTAAATAGTGCTGCAATGAACATTATGATACATGACTCTTTGAATTATGGTTTTCTCTGGGTATATGCCCAGTAGTGGGATTGCTGGGTCGTATGGTAGTTCTATTTTTAGTTTTTTAAGGAACCTCCATACTGTTCTCCATAGTGGCTATACCAATGTACATTCCCACCAACAGTGCAAGAGGGTTCCCTTTTCTCCACACCCTCTCCAGCATTTTTTGTTTGTGGATTTTTTGATGAAGGCCATTCTGACTGGTGTGAGGTGATACCTCATTGTAGTTTTGATTTGCATTTCTCTAATGATTAGTGATGTTGAGCATCCTTTCATGTGTTTGTTGGCAATCTGTATATCTTCTTTGGAGAAATATCTGTTTAGGTCTTCTGCCCATTTTTGGATTGGGTTGTTCGTTTTTTAATATTGAGCTGCATGAGCTGCTTGTATGTTTTGGAGATTAATCCTTTGTCAGTTGCTTCATTTGCAAATACTTTCTCCCATTCTGAGGGTTGTCTTTTCGTCTTGTTTGTGGTTTCCTTTGCTGTGTAAAAGCTTTGAAGTTTTATTAGGTCCCATTTGTTTATTTTTGTTTTTATTTCCATTTCTCTAGGAGGTGGGTCAAAAAGGGTATTGCTGTGATTTATGTCATGCAGCATTCTGCCTATGTTTTCCTCTAAGAATATTATAGTTTCTGGCCTTACATTTAGGTCTTTAATCCATTTTGAGTTTATTTTTGTGTATGGTGTTAGGGAATGTTCTAATTTCATTCTTTTACATGTAGCTGTCCAGTTTTCCCAGCACCACTTATTGAAGAGACTGTCTTTTCTCTATTGTATATTCTTGCCTCCTTTATCAAAACTAAGGTGACCATATGTGTATGGGTTTATCTCTGGGCTTTCTATCCTGTTCCGTTGATCTATATTTCTGTTTTTGTGCCAGTACCATACTGTCTTGATTACTGTAGCTTTGTAGTATAGTCTGAAGTCGAGGAGCCTGATTCCTCCAACTCCGTTTTTCTTTCCCAAGATTGCTTTGGCTATTCAGGGTCTTTTGTGTTTGCATACGAATTGTGAAATTTTTTGTTCTAGTTCTGTGAAAAGTGCCAGTGATAGTTTGATAGGGATTGCATTGCATCTGTAGATTGCTTTGGGTAGTATAGTCATTTTCACAGTGTTGATTCTTCCAATCCAAGAACATGGTATATCACTCCATCCATTTGTATCATCTATAATTTCTTTCATCATTGTCTTATAGTTTTCTGCATACAGGTCTTTTTGTCCCCTTAGGTAGGTTCATTCCTAGGTATTTTATTCTTTTTGTTGCAATGGTAAATGGGAGTGTTTCCTTGATTTCTCTTTCACATTTTTCATCTTTAGTGTATAGGAATGCAAGAGATTTCTGTGCATTAATTTTGTATCCTGCTACTTTACCAAATTCATTGATTAGATCTAGTAGTTTTCTGGTAGCATCTTTAGGATTCTCTATGTACAGTATCATGTCATCTGCAAACAGTGACAGCTTTACTTCTTCTTTTCTAATTTGGATTCCTTTTATTTCTTTTTCTTCTCTGATTGCTGTGGTTAAAAATTCCAAAACTATGTTGAATAATAATGGTGAGAGTGGACAACCTTGTCTTGTTCTTGATCTTAGAGGAAATGCTTTCAGTTTTTCACCATTGAGAGTGATGTTGGCTCTGGGTTTGTCATTTATGGCCTTTATTATGTTGAGGTAAGTTCCCTCTATGCCTTCTTTCTGGAGGTTTTTTTTTTATCATAAATTGGTGTTGAATTTTGTCAAATGTTATTCTGCATCTATTGAGATGATCATATAG